CCATTGGCCCATCAGTACATAATACATATTATCCACAAATCATGGACAATGTACAGAGAATGAAGACAATCATATTCCATTATAACACCCTTAATTTGTTTGCCTCATAGATGAATTTTCCTAGTAGATACAATTCTTTAATATCATGGACACTCAATAACTGAACGACTTTAAACACAGATGTTTTTTTCCAAGAATAGCTTTTGATAAAACGAGATCTGAGATTTTGGAATTTAGAACAGACCAATAAAAAATGACAGTCTAACGGTCACTGTAACACTGTGTAACACTCATTGTAAAATTGTACATACTCTTAATTATTGTGATAACATATACAGTGTACATTATTGCATACGAGCCTTCCGTAGGAAGCATCATAGTTTTATGCTTGTGTAAATTGGTCACAGATGTGCTGATATTGAAAAGCTAAATCCTGAATATTGTAAAAATATTTTAACCGTTAAGAAACCCGCTTGCAATGCTATATATTGATTCTCGATTTCCCCACTAAAAAAAACATGTGGAAAAGTTTCTGGATTATTGGCAGTATTTACCTGTATTTCACCTGTGTTTTTACCTGTGGTTAACTGTTAGTAGCTGGAAGCTGATAATGTTTAATAAAATATCACACAAGATATTGATAGTTTCCATACTAAATTTAATATTAAAAATACTTAGTATTCATTTTGTAGCGGTTGTGATGCTCATATGTCATGTTATTAAATATCTTATTCAATTTTCAATAATTCATTTTGTATCAATATTGTAAACAATTTTTTTTTTAACAACTATACAGACCTTATCTTTATTGTTGTTTCAATTATTGACTATTCCTATCTCTTTGTTAAAATATCAACTACTTCCTCGAAACTGTCGATTATCTGTTTAGTTATTTTGTTCATTGTGAGAAACTAGGCCGTGTTTCGTACAGTATCTAGTCCTTAATGTATGTTACTGAGTTATAAAATCCGAATAATTTTTCGTCTATATATTTTATTGTTAATTGTCACAAAATCTGTAGTAATATTTATAGTTAAAATGTAACCCACATTTTGTGGAAGCAGTTCAAATATTTGACGGAAAGAGCCGTAGCAAATCGGAGGTGAAAAATTACCGTGGTATCTGTCGGGGAGCGGGAAATGTTGAAAAGCAGGTCTTAATTACTGATTCCCGTACCGCTGTTAAAAATTATAAATATACATTGAAAATCGATTTTACAGGCATAAGTATAACTTTGATAAATCACTTTTATGCTTTTATGAGGAAACATAAATAGAAATAAGCATAAAAATAATCAACAACAGTACTAGTGTTCTGATTTTAAAATGAATAGCCGGACTAGACCGGGATTCAAACCCAGGACCTCAGATGGTTAAATTATCGCTCAAATAGACTGAGCTACCTATAGTGAACATAAGAGTATCCAAAACGAAATTAAGGGGATGTTACTGTATATACGAAAATAACACTGTGTGTTGGGGCAAGGATCCTTAAATGTATTTTAGTCATATTAGTAATATCAATTATTATGACGTCATGAGATGAGACACACAAATTATGACGTCACAAATTCACTGCAACGGAAACATTGGTAAGTTTCTGTTTGTTTTGTTTCTGTATATCCTGTTAAAAAGTCACAAAATGTATCATTCGAATAACGTGTGAGGACCACATCTAGTTTAGTGTGCCCAAGAAATGATATCTGTAACTGAGAAACATGAAAAACTAGCTCCTTTAGCACTTTCGTGAGGAACAAAGTCTTTTTTTTCCATTAATTTTAAAAATAGAAACCAGGTGCAACCGATCGTTCAGTTGCACGCTTTCCTTTTTGAATAGCTGGTCGTTGTCAAATTCATTACGCGCAGTTTCACGGGGCGCATACTAACTAACTTGTCATTGAATATGGATTTTTCAGTACCTCTGTTACTCTGACCTTTTATATAGCGACCCAATTATTGAATTTTCATTGCGGATTGGTACGCTGCGGTTTTTAAAAATACGGAAGCCGATACATGTCAACGAGGGGAGGGGGAATCGTGTCGCAACATACATGTATGTACAGTGACTTACTATCGCGTTTGAACGACATATAGCACACAATTGTGTGATGTAACAATCGATCGCCCTATTGGGTGATACAATGCGCGTACAATGTATATGTGCGATATGGTGAGATAAGTTGAAAATCATTGTTACCGAATGAAAAAAAAAACCCACCGGAAGGCTCGTATAAATAGTTTTTGCACTTCATTTAACTTTGCAAACGTATTAAACATTATTACCATGGCTGTCAATCCGCCAATTACAGTTGATTGGTGATTTTACAGTTCATAAGTTTATTAGCCTTTAGCCTTTCGGCTAATCAGCATAAACATTACAACACATTCTACAAAATTGAGTGAGTGATACACAGCAATACAGACATGTTATGGAGGATGGACAATATACATGTAATTATTCATTTGATCTCAGTTGTGATGCAGCAATTAAAAATTTGGAAAGATTATTTAATTTCTTCTTATTTCGAACAGAAAGTAAGTTTATCAATTTAAATATAAACGGTCTAATTTTGTAATATCAATCAATGTATTGTGTTCTTACTTCGTTGTAAAATGGACAAACAAGAATAATGCCTAAATTACACTTTAAACATAATCTTTCATTTCGAAATATTCTCTCATATCTGCCCCTTTCTATACGAAGGTCGTGTAAAGATAATCTAAATTTCGCAATGGTTAAAATACAAGATTCAGGAAAAGTGTTAAAAAGTGTCTGAGAACTTACCTGTTGGAACTCAAGCAGATATAATAATATAATAAATATATACTTTAACTTTTTAATTTTCTTCAGTTTAATATTTTTGATAATATTAACAAGCTGATCGTGAAGTATTTGATATATATATATAATACTAATTGAACTGGCTTCGGTATCACAAACATTTTCTCAAGCTCAGCTGAGCTTGCCGACGTAATTATAAACTTCTACTGAACTCTTCACACCAAAAGGAGCACATTTCTCGTATCAAGACTGTGCAATATGCTGCGCGATGTCGCACTTGTTGTGTGTCAACATGTTTACGCTGAAATAATTGTGAAAAAAATAATATCATTAAACGAAGAAGAGGTATAATCTTCGCAACAGTCTTTTTAAGTACAATCACAATGTTTTTAACAACATGCATCTACTTCACTTAAAAATAAATCAGAACATGCTAGATAAACATGTTAGTTTTCGAGGTAAGGAAAGGCCAAAGTGTTAGAAAGCTCCTATGATGAAAATAAAGATTAATTTGTAACCTGTGTGGTCAAAAAGATTCCGTTAACGACAAAGATCTAGAGGAAATGGCTACGTCGCTGACATTGCGTTTACTTTGTACTCAATACGTGGTACCACGACGTGACAAAGAACATACTGTAGGTGCGACACAAAACGGGCGAGTGTTATGATTCTCTTTCTTTAAACTTAGGACAAGAAATTAAGTGACACATTTTTTTGTAAAATTTGAACACCCAATAATCACAGGTCTACCAATCGAGACTGGGAGATGTATTATACATAGTCGTGACTCAAAGACTATTCATAGTAAAACTTAACTTTATTGTTGGTACTTTTAAGTGTAATTGCCTAATAAATGTAGCTAAGCAAGTGTATATATTCCTTCGGCTATACAATAAACATGTATATATATGTTATATTTTGAGGTGAAAGTGTTCCATGTGATATGTCTAAACACGCACCTTTTAATGTGAAGCCTAATGAATATTTTCCTTAATTTCCTTATCCATCAAATAATAGAATTACGTTTTTCCAAACATTTATTAAATATGGGTTTCAAAATTTCCATAGGAACGATATTCATTTCTTCTGGTTCCTTTACGTTGTCATTGATCGTCACTTAATCATTGTTGTAATTGGCATAGATTGTGGAAAGAGATTCCTTATAATGTGAAATGAAGTAAATGCAGAAAATTTTGTATTATGGAAATGTCAGGTCAGTGTTTTCAAATCCACCTCCACCTTTTTTTTCAAACATTTCTTTTTTTTAATCTGAATAAATTTGTGTTATAATGATCTATTTTAATACATCATGCTATCTACCTATATATACAGTCCCGTGCCAAATTAAAGTTCACAGTTATCTTTTTCCCTCTTAATTTGCTGCATTTCTAAATATTTCAGTGATCATGAGTTTCCTTATCTCATTTATTTTCAAGATGGGCCAATTATTATTCAAATGAAACTATACTTGTTACATAACGTCATTTTGTTCTTTATCTTACTAAAACTTTTTATGAAAAAATATTTAATTCCAAAGATACACCTGTCGTATCTTGAAAACTGCGAAACTGCAAATTATGAAAATATATTGAGAATCCCCCCCCCCCCGACATTTAATGGATTTTAAAAGCCATGCAATCGTATGTACATGTGAAACAACGACCGTTCATGGAATTACACCACACATATTTATATATGTATATATCTTAATCTGTTGGATATATCTACATACACATTTAAAGATTCCAAATACACCGCAGAACACCTGTGATTTTAAAATACATCTTTTTTGATGGTAGACATTATGTACAATGTAGTAAATAAAATGTGGTAAAATACACAGGGACCTGATAATTAGAACCGCTATATTTGGACCTAAACTATTTACTCTGAACACCTAAGGTTAGGTCCAAATATAGCAGTAACAAATTATCAGGTCCCTGTGGCATAATACTCCAATCAAAGTCATTCATTTGCCCCACTTTTATCAATCATTGAAATCATCATTCTCAAGGAAAGTATTTTTATATATGTATGTTTTGACTTTGTTTGTTCAACTGGTACTGTATAACTTTGGTATAAAATTGCATATGTTAGAACTACTTGGTTTAAAACCTTAAAGATGCTTTCATTGATGATAAGTCGCTGTCTGGTGCATTTAATCAAGTCCCGCAATGCATTTAGTATTACTGATCATGGTCAGTAGGCGTTTCTAACGATCAGACGACGTTTTTGAGGAATTACATTACAAGGTATTTGCATCGTTTTTGTTATTTTTCAGAATGAAATCTATACTGTTATGTGTAAATTATGGAAACAGATTACTGATTGTACCCAGAATTGCATGTCAACACATTCAAATATTGTTATTTTACCGAAAGATTGTCTATATTGTAACATCATCTCGGAGCATAGTCCAAAGTCACGATATATCGTCTTACAAAAAGTAAAATAACATGAAAATTACATCATTTAAAAGATCGCATGCTCAGTTTTTCATTTAAAGTGCTTTTGTTAGAAACTATAACGCATAGATTATTTATATTTCAAATCGCACTCTGGCCCAGGGCTTAGTATTCGGACCCCAGTCATCTCAGACTCATTTCACGGCTAATTAAAATGAAAGTTTTTAGTTTGTGATAACGAAACACGTACGCTGAGCTTGAGTACTTGAGTTTGGACTCAAATTGGTACAATGCCACGATTACATTAATAAATTCTTATGTATGTATTTGGACCTTGGGCTTGAACAGATGTGCAGATGCCGCCTCAGCCTTCTCCATCTTGAATAAGATCAGAATCTCTTCTTTCATTAAAATTTGTTTCTCTTCTCTTACCCTGGACAGGGATATCCACCATTTTACCGGTGTGAGATTGAGATTTTCTTTTCTCTTACCCTGGACAGGTATATCCGCACTTTTACCGGTGTGAGATTTCCTTTTCTCCCACACCTGACAGATTTATCTCCCGTTTTGCCGGTGCTAGATTTATCTGTCTCCGCCCTAGGGTTGAGACGGGGGGATTCCCCTATTTATAACAATGGTATGACGTCACTGCAACAATACAATGACGTCACGTCAACAATCCATCAACGTCACGTCAACCCTGAATTTAGCATGTAACGTTATCATTACATTGTGTATATGATACACATTGGGGAAAACAGGGTACATGTAAGAGAAAAAGAATCATTCACCCCCTTGTGGGTAAGATAGGGGAATCTCAACCCTCGGG